AGCAAGAAAGTTTCTCTATGACGTTTAACTAGTCCAGACTCCAATCATATTTGGTTATGAGACCTATATTTTCTTGTACATATTCTTAGAATATTGCTGCTATAAATTCTACGTATGACAGACAATTTTTTAGCAGATACAAAGAACAGCGATATAATTTAAGTGTAATATTTAGAATTCTAGCTGGAACAGCGAAACATTTCCCTGAGTGTACATTCTTTAATACTATTATTTTGTTCGAGCTTATTGGATCTTCGTTCGTAAAATAAAATAATTCTACATTTCTCATTATTATATAAGTATAATATGTATAGTTAAAATAATTTTGTAATATGTATAAAAATATAAAGTTTAGTTTCTAATGTTTCTATTTAGTTATCCTATTGTTGCTGTCACAAAGATTTACGATGCAGAATTTTTTTTAATTACTTTGCGCGAATTCACTCGCTGATACAGCACCTGTCAATATAAAGTTTGGTTTTGCTGCACACAAAAAATTACGTGATTTTTAATCGTATTTAAAATGCGTTATAAAAATAACGAGCTATTTCTTATTTTCCATATCCTGATTTTAAAACTTACATCGCGTGCTCTATGCTGCTTCGTCTTACGAGACAAAGGCCTTCCAGAGCTGATCTTTAATTTATCGACAAGGATTCTTTCGACGAGAAACAAAGCGTCGCGACGCAGTTCTCACACGACATCGGGAGGCGTTTTCCCGGTGGTCTCGGGCAGCTTTTTCTCCCTCTCGCGTGCAATCGCGCGCCTGTGTCGCGTCCGCGACGATGCGTTTAAATGATATGTGTGTGTAGATATATATATATATATATACCATATATATGCGAGACGAGAGTTTAGACGAGGTAGGCAGAGGGGTTTCCGGCGAGCGTTAACAGAGTAACAGAGTGATGTAATGAGGCCCGGAAGCAGGCAATTTGCTGCCCGCGGCGGCCACAGTTGCGCGAGACAACCTGCCCGGAGTACCTTCTTCTTGATACCGCGGTCCAGCCTTCTCCGTATCGGGCACCTGACCGAGTAGCCCGTGACAAAGTGATGTCGTGAAAAAGCGCGAATATAAGGGAAAACAATATACTGCGTGGCCGATCGCGCGCGAGTGCGTGTGAAGGGAAATCGTCAGCGCCGCGTCGAGGAGAGCGTAATTATCTCGTATGATGAACGCGCGGCCCGTTGGCACAATGTTGTTTTGTTCGATATAATGAGTGCGAATTATACGCGACAATGGACGTCGCACAATTGGCGTAAGGTACAGTTTTCTGAATCTACAGCATTGTAGATCAGGTTATACATCGAGATTATGCTGGTTTTAACTTCTGCACAGTGACTGGTACGCCAAGAATCGTCGAGGAGAGAGACGCGAGTGATGTGTTCAAAATTATTATTTGAATTTGCACGTCGCCATAACTTCTTCAATTAAAGAAAAATTATTTTGAATCAAAGTCAACGTATACAATATACGTTAATATCCATTTTGTATCACATTATACATCTTACACTCACAGTAAGTTCCAAATTCGCATTTATTACACTATCAAAATATTTGCGATAATTTTATTAACTTTACCAATAAAAAAATAGCAAAAGATTAGGACTAACTGACTCGAAACGACTGATTGAGAGCGGCCTCATTGTTTAGTAAACAAATTCTCGATAGCGTAAAAATGGCGACCGCCCAAGCAGTCCGCGGACTACAGTATCCCCGACGATCGATCATTTGATTCGGCTTTTAAACTGTCAGACAGAACCGCAAAGATAATCTGGCTGCGCGCTCATCGTGCCGCGAAACAGCGTGACTATGTGACAGTTTTGTGATTAGATTGACCTCAATACGCGCTGGACATCCGGACGTACCCACGAGAGTGCTTTTATCCTTAACCATCCCGATCGAATGTCAGCGAATGCTTCGCGATAACAAGTGCCTCGTGATGGCCAAAATAAGCTGCATCTTGCCTTCCGGACTATTCTGGTGGACGTTCCAGAAAAAAGTGATGTTCAAACGATCGTCGCAGCGACAGTGAAACGTGTACAGGTCCATCGCGAAAATTGTCACGGTGATCGAAGGTAAACAGACACATCGAAATAGACAGAGAAAATCCGATTTATGATTAAAATACATAACAATTATATTGAAAGGATTTCATATATTATACTGCTTCATATTTCTAACATATGTTTCCAATAAAAATTGACTTGACTTTATCTCACATTGTTTTATATATAGAACGATAATTAAAACACAAAATCAGTTACTTATTGTAAAGTTTTTACGATATATATATTTAGAATTAGTATAAAAATGTATAATTCTAAATATTTAAAAAAAGATTTAAATCATAGGTAAATATGAAAGAGCGGAAATAGTTTGAATATATATATGTATATCGGTCTCTCAATATTTAAACGTTTTTTATGCAATATGTATATAAATTAATCTGTCGATTTTAATGAGAAAATGATAACTTTAGAAATAAATTATGCAGCTGTTTAGCTTTCTATTAATAACTAAGGTCAAATAGAAAGCGGGTCGATAGTTCGTTTCGTCGAAACACGTTATAGACAGTTGAAAATAAATACGTAATTCATATATTAATGTCAGTTCAAATGATAATTTCCTTATCCGCGTATTTTCACTGGCTTTAAAAGCAATAAGAGTTTCACGTGTTCGGGCGAGTCACACGTGGATCAGCAACATCGTGCGGCATCATTTCGTTTGAATAATGATTTATGTAATACGGGAAGGGATAGCGGAAGCGGCAGATTTTCAAGATTAGACGGAAGCGGACTCGCGATAAACGACAAGCTTCAATATTATAGGCGGTCTCTTATCTTCGTGTACTCCGCGCGCGTTGCGGAATTGCGGAGAGATACGATCGCGAATACGGGCCTCATGCAAATTCGATTGTGGATCGCTTTCGCAATTTTGACGATCATAAGTTCGAGGCCGCGTCGTCGATGAAATGTAGATGATAGGCGTCCCGACCGTGTTTTCTAGATTACGCGACTTCGATTAGGAGAGAGCGCTCCGTTATTATGCCCATGATAATTCGCTGATATCTCCCGAATGTATGTTTCTAGTATTTGTGTGCCTCTCTCTTTGAAACGTCACGAAGAAAGCGATAACGAAGTGCAAAGCATTGCATTTAATTCGTGATATATATACATATACACATATACAAAGATCTAGTAAATGCGTTGTATCAAAACAAATTAAAACTGTAAAGAAAACAAATCCTCATTTGCATTTATAAATTAAAAATAATAAAAATTTAACAAAATTCCCAGAATTAAAAATACAGAAGTAAATAAGGCAGATAGGAATCGGCGCAGTTATTAATACGCAAATTGCAATTTTAAACACAAACTTTATTCTTACATAAGATTAGACGTTTCGGCTATTCTTTTTAGCTCCTCAGTGACAGAGAGTTAGCAATTGTCACTGAGGATGGCTAAAAAGAATAGCCGAAGCGTCTGACATCTTATGTGAGAATAAAGTTTATGTTTAAAATTACAATTTGCGTATTAATAACTCCGATTCCCATCCGCCTTATTTACTTCTGTATTTATAAATTTAATTCCGCCAATAATTTTTATGTAATTTTGCACGAATAACTTAATTTATTAACCAATTTTTGCCAGAATATCTATGTTTAATTAAAGCGAAATATAGCATTGATGCGGTGATTAGATAAAGAAGATAGTTTCAGCTAGCGCCTATGAAATAATTCTTGTGGATTAATAGTGCATTCGACGTGACCTTTTATCCTCCACTAGCACATATCGCACCTAAAATGATGAATAAGAATGCTAATGTAATAAACGCTTTCCTGATGGTGTGCAGCTTTGGTTGATTCATGGCCAGCTGCAACCGAAGGTAGGACGTATATACCTGCCTATTAAGTGTTATTTTGACCGGTTAACCCGGAAACACGCGTACGAGGTACATCATAAATGATCCAACGATAAAAGCTTGAGAAAAAATTGATTGTATAATAGAACCTTCATCTTATCTCTTACTGAAATATGATTCTAAAATGTATTAGGTTTAAGTGATTTTCCTGATAAGAAATCGGACTAGGAGAGGCAACGGTCTTAATGCAATTGACTAATATTAGAGAACATTTAAGTTAATTAAAAATTCAAGCTGTTTGCAAAATTATACAAGTAATGTAATTAAATATAATAAGTTAATAATAACAAGTCAATTTTTAGGAAAAACATCAGAGAATATAAAGAGACGGTGATTGAATGTGTGATGATAGCCGAAAGACATTCGTCTTTCAGTGATATTATAAAATAAAAAATATTCGTGCATTTAATACGCTCATCTATTTTAATTCGATCATGCCTTTACCGGATGTTTCAAGGGTCCTTTAATGATCCCAACTGCGGTATCTGCACGAGTATAAGTGCTGTCAACCTAAAGTAACGTAGGCTTGCTTCAATCGACCCTGCATTGCGTTTTAGCCATGTCCATTTTAATCAAAAGAATTTAATAACACGGACGAAATTTAACCTACGCAAGCAATAGAATTAATTTATTCTTCGATTTCAAGTTTGTCATCAATAAAAAATGCTAGCTTATTAGTGATGATAACTATAGCATTAGTTAATCTGCACGACTACGTGAACTTCGTTTCTGAGAGTTGCAATGTTAATATTCAGCAGGAAGTACTCAATTGAACGAAACGGAGTCAACGTCGACGTACAGATGTTTCTCATTGAGACTTCTTCCTAATATGTAGCTGAATCAGCGTGCGTAAGAAGAAAGAGAAATAAAATTTTCGAATTCGTTTGCGGACATAAGGATATTCCCCCCCCCCCCAAAAAAAAGACAAAAAATAGATTGTGCTTGCGTATCGTTTAACGATTTATCATCGAGTTGAAGGCTTGCGTTATCAATTGTAGTCTATTCATGTATGACAAATTGTTCTCGATAATTACGGCTCTTTCTGCCGTTCACAGAAGACAATCTTGAATTGCAGGGGCTCTTTGGTGATGTACGACAGCGCTAGCTGTTCGTACGCAGGTGCGCTCGAATTAAAGGGAGCCTCCGGGGCCGGAGCCGCGGCCGCGGCCGCCGCCGGTGTAACCGCGGCCGGCGTCAAGCAGGAGAACTGGCCGTACCGCGGCCTCACCTGCGGCAGCACCTTTCAACGACTCAAGGAAAGCGTCGACAAGGCGAAGCAGGCCCTCGCCGATCGCAGCGGTTACCTAGCGGGTGCGTTTTCGCCGCCTCCGCGCGCCAACCCGTCCGCCATTTCGCCCACCGCCTCCATCACCGGTAAGCGAGGCTTCTCTTATTTCACTATGAAATTTCGACCTTTTTGCACGTCGACAGGAAACACTCGAGCTTTTTGTAAAAGGCACTGAGATTAGTTTGACAACATTAGTTTAACATTTTCATGCTTTGGAAACATTAAGATGATATTAAGTTTAAGATGGATTTTCACACAAAATAAATGTAATTTAATTGATATGGATAATTTTTTCTATGACAGTATTGTTTAAAATGTGTAGAATATTTTTTAAATTTTATTTTTCAAGTAAACAGAGTAGAAGAATTCATCGAAGAATATCTTGGCTAACACACGTCCACTTATTAGTCATTATTTCCGTTACGTAAGATTATGATTGCGGCATATAGTGCCACCATTTTCTCTATCACTCTGTTAGTGTTTCTAGAGAAGAAAATCAGAAGCTGGTTTATTTCCAGCCTCGTCAATAGGGGTGCTTTTATATAAAAATTTTTCAACTACTGAAAAATATTAATATGAGGCACGAAACGTTTCTTTGCCAAACGGGAAGCAAGCAGGTGTGAGATATGCACGAAAGTGTAACTTATTGCGTGGCGATGCGAAATAGTTGTTGCCGTAACACCGAGCGTAAAGTCACGCACGTACGTGCGGAAAGACACGCAACCTGATTACGCGCAAGTTTATCCCGGCATAAGTACCGCCGGAGATACCATCGATAGGTTCTAATGTACGTCGTGATGACGTAATGCGGTTAATGAGAGCAAAAGCCCTCGCTATTTTCCCACAATGATAAGCAGCATACAACGCTAAGATTTTGCTAATCGCGAACACATTTTAAGAATCAGCGATCCGCGTATTCATGTCATGCCAAATGTCTGAGGTATAAATCTTCAAGTTTAATACATAATTATTTTTAGACATAATTTTCAACTGTCTCTCTCTCTCTCTCTCTCTCTCTCTCTCTTTGTAAAAGAAAGTATAAAACTGTAGGAAAGATCATTGATAAAGGTAACGATAAACTTTACATTAAACATTTTCACAAACTTTTCTTTTGCTCTTCGATATAGCGTTTATATGTACTGCCGAAGCTAAGTACTCTTCTCGATGTAAGAAAAAAAGAATATTATTATTTGATTATCATAAAACTATAATGTCTGTTATATACCTGTTATATTTTTACTTGCACTAACTGAGACCATCGTTTTGTCGATGGAAACCTTTGCACAATAAAACCTAATTTACGATATAAAATCACCGAGTTAATTGGACTCGCTACTATTTTCTCAAGCGGTGTCAAATTTATATTGAAAAAGTAGTAGAATACAACGTGATGTCTCGCCTCTGATAACGGTGCGGTATCTCCGTATCTCTTTCCGAAATCATTAAGAATCGGTAAAGATGAGCGTCACCCACTGTGATACCCTCTCGTGCCAAGAGAAACGCGAAAAAAAAATCCGGGGTAACGGTCTCGCGCGCGATAATTTGTCATCCGGCAGTAGCAGCAGCCGGCGGGCGGCGGGCTGACTGTTGCTCTTCGTTGTCGCCGATTTCCGATTGCTTTTTTAAAGCGCCGGTCGCCGAGGACATTAATTACCCGGCCAGTGTAAATCACGTTATCTACCGCCCACGCCCGCGAGGGCCGCGAGGAGACGGCGAAACGGAAGGGGGAGAAGGACGGAGGTAGAGGAAGAGGAGGTGGAGGAGAAGGAGGAGGAGGAGGATGAGGTGGATGAGGAAAACGGAGGAGAGGTGTTCGGGGGAGGTGTTCGAATACGGCGGGGGTCGTGTTGCACGATGCGATGGTGTTGCATCGCTGCGCCAGCCGGAGCAAAACGCGCCCGTCTCGACTGCTCTCCACGGCCGCAGCAATATCCTGCTCGCCGCGTTCCCAAAATTTATCGGTGACTCGCCCGAAACTTTCGTCTCGCCCGGTGGTGGCTGCGTTTAACGGCGCGACGCGGTCGCCCGCATTTACCTAGGGCGATCGATCGATCTCCCGCCTCCTGGATCGCGCGCGCGAATCCCGATCCGGGAATGCTGGCCGCACGGTTTTTTCACTCGTATTCCGTAACACGTTTTTCGTCGCCACCATGGTTAATTCATCTCTCGCGCCGCGACAGCAAGGTCACCGAAATAACCGGCTGAGATAACGTTATATTATTCAATAACGTTACACAATACGTGGTCCACGTAGTCACGAAATAAAGTCCATTAATTTGTAAAATAATATCCGCGATATTCTTTCAATCAATTGGAACAATTTGGATGCGATCAAAACAATTAAAATATTTAGATAATACTAACTCGCAGGTTGCTGAATTAATGAGATTATTCTATGTCAGTTTTACAAATTAATCCTTACTTTATACTTTGCTTTTCTTTAAATCCCCATTTCAAAATATAATAAAAACAGAGAGAACAATATATTAATTTCGTCTCATCATCACTAGAAATTAATCCTAAATAAACGAGTTTACGTAGATTTTAATATTTTCTTAAATGATATTCTTATCACATATAATATAAGAAATACAATTTTAAAAACCGTAAATCTAACAAGGAAAGTCCCCTGATTTTGATGAACTTTTAATATGTTATTCTTTAAACAAAAAAAAACGTATTTTTTTATACATGTTCATATGCACTATTAAGGGGTGAAACCATTACAAGGAAATTGGTTATTCTCTTTCAAAACGAATACCATTGAAACAATAAGAAATAGAAACAATTTTTCAAATAAAAGTTGTACAATTTTAAGAGTACTTTATAACAGTAACAAAAAAATGTTAGGTGATTGAGATATATAAAAATAAAAATTTTATATGGCTATTATAAAGCACTTTTAAAACCATACAACTTTTATTTTAAACATTCATTTCCTATCTCTTATAATTTCGGCGATATTCGCTTTAAAAGAGAACAGACAATTTTCTTGTAAGGAGTGTTTCATCCCTTAAAAGAGTGTATATGAGCATGTATCTCTTTTTTTTGTCTAAACAATATATTAAAGGCTCATCAAAATCGAAGAGGAAAGTCACTTTCGTAACTTTTCTTGTAAGATTAATGTAACGTATATACTAACGTATATACATTATGAATTATATTATCTTACAATTACTTTCAAGACAAGTAATTCTGTAGACTTCATAATTCACACAACGTTGGATTTTACTCTATCATTACAACTCTTAAAATTTCTCGATCTTTCTTGTCTCTCCCGTGTATCGCGACAATCATCCACCCCCCACGACATTCTATTCAATCGTACGTTTATCCTGTCCTCTTGCACGGTCATTCAGTTTGAGAGAAATCTTTTGTGTCACGTCTGTGTGTGTCTCGAGGGATCGTCTCAAAATTTTGACGGGACTCGTAGGATTCGAGACAAGATGGTGGGTCGATGATGGCGGCGGGTAGTTGCGAAAATGTAGAATGACGAGGGAGGAGCGGTTACAGGGTTAGCCGGGAGCGTATCCATGACGACCGACCGCCCCACGTACCCTCCGAGATCCCGGATGCTCCCCTCGGCATCCCAGCATCCCTCCCTTTCCATCCCCCTCGCCCCGCTCGCTCCCTTCTCACTCACCCACCGCCGCCCCGCGGTTCTCTCCCTGCGTTTCGCCATCCCGGGCAACCCTCTACGGCCACCGGGCTTGCTCTATCTTTCCCCCCTATCTGCGGCCCGCTCCGGGGGATGCACGGCTACTTAGATTTTAAGTCGGGCCATTTCGTGCCGCGTACCTATACCTAACCCGGCTATAATTCTCGCTAGATACAGACGTGCCGACAAAGGAGCACTGGATTCTCCGCGAAATTTCGTCCCTCGCTCTCGCCCGCGACGGAATTTCGATGCGAACGCGAAGCACAAATTTCGTGCGGCACAAAAGCCTCTCTGTGGAATTAAAACCGTCGACTTCGCTGAACTCTCGCGCGGTACGCCGCATGATGTATTCCAACGTCGTATTTCAGTTGCACGGTAATTCTCCAGTAATGGAATGTCGAGTTGGAAACCAGCGAAACTTGGTTATTAAACTTAATAACCGGTAATTAAATCTGGCACGGAACAATTCTTGATAAATGAGATGTTAAGTTTGACAGGACGAAAATAATTGGTTATCAACATTACTGTGTACAATAAATTTCGAATAATTTTATTGGATTGGAAAAACGAATAGGTTTGGAAAAGTATTGGCGAATGTTGATTGTTGGTCGTGAATACTTTTCCAAAAATTCAATCTAATATTAATTATATCATTTCCAGAAGAGAAGACAAAGACAAGAATTTGCTAACGTTAACACTTGATCATTTATATGATATAAAGATTGTTACATTTGATTCAAATTACAATTATTATTTGTTACATTTTATTTTAATAAAATGTAATTTTTACATTAAATGTAATTATTTATTAATAAAAAAATGATTTCAACCAGAATCTTTTACTTTGTCTACCTCACTTCTTGTAGCGTAAAAAATCTGAACGATTGGCTGCTAATTTCCGCGCGTACATACGATATTTGAGAGAAAATATCTGCATTGAGATTCGTCGCGATTTCACAGTAATAATTGAATGTTAAATACAAATATTTTCCGCGTTTATTTCCTTTAACTTGTCGTAACGTAATCTGCACTAGCACCAACAGAGTTGAGGGGCAGCGGAAGTGTCGGTCATTGTGTCAGCGTGTCTCAGGGTAATGCATGTATTTAATGTTTGCCGGTCGAGCACCATCCCTCGGGTAGCTTGTTTGCACACGTAATTGATGTTTGACAAGACGAGGTGACACGCGTGCCGACGTCGTGTTTGTCAGGGCACACGCGTTAACCTTTTTAACATGAGCAACAAACGACGCACTTAGGTGCACATCTATTTCATCTATTCTATTAAATCGAGCACGTAACGAATTTAATTCAGGCGGTCGTAATTTTATCGGTTCGATAGAGACAAATTGACTTTTCATTCTATTCGAAATGTAAATTTGCATTCAATCTGATAATTCAAGTATTTAAATATTAAATTCAAATGTAAAA